TAAAAAGAGATTTTTAGCCTTGTGGGGCTGTCCTCATGCTTGAATGAACTTATTTAATTCCTGTCAAAGTACACACAGAAAGTTAATTTCATTACGAAGCTGTAGCTGGCCCTCATGGCACGCACATGTAATCCCAGTCATTAGGAAGGCTGAGGTCGGAGGGTCACAAGTTTGAGATTAGCCTGGGCAATTTAGCAAGACCCTGTCTCAAAATAAAATATATAAAGGGCTGGGGATGTAGCTTAGAGGTAGAGACCCCTGGAGTCAATCCCCAGCATCGCAAGAAAAAGAAAAGTGAAGGATAAAGAAAACGAGGAGGAGGAGGAAGAAAGAGGAAGGAGAGGAGGGACAGCAATTGTGGTGACGCAGTTTTATGTCAGAGTTCACCGGTGAGCAAGTCCAGCCATTTACACAGGCAAATCCATTCCCACAAGCTGGGCTGGGCCCTTGTCTCTGCTCATCCCGGCTGGTGCTCCGAAGTGAGGGAGTGAGATGGGCATGCGGCTGTGCATAGAAGTCCCTCCTCTGTCCTTCTGAGCTGCGACCTTGTTAGCTTTCCCTTCCCTGTGGCATCCCCTCGCCTCCGCCCAGCCCAGGGCAGCCCATCTGCACTGTCATAATAGGGAGGGTCTGTGTGACAGAACAGGAGCTATTTATGGCCTACACTCTGTGTGGTTTTATCTTCTGTCTATAAACAGGCCTCCCTAGGGGAGCTTTTCACCCCTTGTCCCCTTGGATTCCCTTTGTCCCTAGCTAGAAATTCTCTGAGAATTCAGACACCTGCTCGGCCTGATTCTGTGGTGGGAAGTTTGGGGCCTGGACCCTGCTCCTGCTTCCTTGCTCCCTACTCTGGAAGCTGCCTGTTTGGATGTGGAGCTGGAATGTCTCTGCCTCCTTTGCTCAAGCAAAATTGGAAGGAGGAGCAAATTACCTCCGATTAATGTGATCATTTTGTATATCTGGAATGTACCAATATAATTTTTTAAAAAAGAAGTGGAAGTAAGACTCCCTTTGGGCATTGTGATTTTCAATCATCTCCTCACGGAAGCACTGTTATCAAAAGCAAGTAGACCCATTACATTCTGCTTTAGTCATTTTGCAGTACCAACATGCTGTGGGTATGGTTTCACATCAAGCAAACAGGGTGATTTACTATTGTGCTCACTGTTTTGGACGCACCTTTTCTTGTTCTGACCATCATTGATTCATCTCAGAAAATTCAAAAAATCTCAAATACGAATTAACAGCAAGAACTTGGTGAGAGTGGCCCTTGGCTCATAGCTCAAATCAGTTATGTGTTTTCACTGCTCTTATAATGCACCTGCATCTTTTTCCACTGTCACCCACACTCTGTGCAGAGTGACAGCTGCGCTGTTCACTCACCCATGTGCGTCTCCGGGGAGGGACCAGGTAGAGAGGGGATTAGGTTGCACAGGCTCGCCGGACTGTGATCGACTGCTGCCCTGCCTGATGATCCTTTTGCAAGGGTTGGGTTCTGATCAGTGGGAAGCCGGACGGTGAGGACAGCAAATGGCCATCATTGTCCTGTCTTTAAAGAGAAGCCTGACCTCACTGAAGGACAGTCTCCGTGCTGGCTGTCCACTTTCAGTCTGAGCGACAGTGAGCTCCTAGCTTTGAAGGCGGATGCGTGCTTTTTCCTATTGATAGTCAAGATGCTTTGCTGGAGGAAGCAGCTTCTGTTCCAGATTAAGCCCTCAGCCTGTAGGGTATGAAAGCTCTGCTGCAGCCTTGGTGGGAAGACCCCTTAATGTGTTGCAGGCGTCATTTACATGGCTGTGAGCTCCTGGGACTGGACCTGGTGCCTTGTCTGTGCAGAGGTCAGCTGGTGAGTTGCGCTGCTCTGTCCTAGGAAACTGAATACTGATTGTTTTTAAATTCAGATAGAAATCACAGGAAAGTTGGAGTGACACAAGTATGTGAGAAAGAATGACTTTTAAAGATCAGTTTAGAAGTAATTCAATATTGAATGAGTTCATTGTAGAGAGACAAAGTTTTCACTGTTGCACTTTCTAATCTTCACAGGTCTCTCTCTCTCTTTCCCAGTCCTCTCCCCAAGTTTCTTAAAAGGATGATGTGTTGCTAACCATTTTCTCTGGGAGCAAAATGTTCCCTGGTTAGGGGAATGATAAATGAAAATAGCACACTAGAAAAGACTTGTTATTAGCTGATTTAAAGTGATCCATACTAATTGTCTGAGACTTCCTGCTCTGCAGTTTGAACAGTAGAGGCCTGCCGGCTCTGCGCAGGTTCGTTTTCCCAGGGTGGGTTGATTTCAGAGTCCTCCTGCCTGTCCCCAGAAAAGCTATCTGCAGCGACTCATTTGCTAATGCCCTCGTCTATAAAAGCAGTGTCTTCGCCTGTGTCTCATCTAAAGATATTTACCAGGAAATGGGAGCAAAACAGTGTCATTACTGTACTTAAGGATTTGGCAAACTCAGTGCTTTGTCAATATTTATGTCAGTCAAGCTCACAGTTAACCAGTATCTAATTCATTACTTTTCTTTATAAGGAGAGCTAGCTCTCTTACTTGTTTGTACAAAATTGGAGTGAGTCCTGGAAACTGAGACTCAGTTCATCATGTTTAAGAAATTTTCTTTACTTATTCAGTTGGAGTTTAAAAATATAAAAGTTTGCTGGCCTTAGAGAACAAAATAAGGAAGTTGATATTGTCCCATTTTATAAGGGGGTCTATATGGAACTAATTTAAGGGCTAATGAAATAAGTGAATGTTTTTGATAAGAGCTGCTCACTTTTTTCTCTAGCTGTGCTTGGGACTTTTCTCTTCCCTACTGAGAACTCTGGAAGGGCGAGGATATGTGCTGGGTCCCCAGGAGCAGATTCTGTAGGGGCGGAGGGGAGGGCTTGTCCTGGAAGAACCTCAGTCATCTGCACCAACAGGAAACCCGCTGGAGGATGGGCCTGGAGGACATGCACAGCTCCAATGGACCTACTGGTTGTAAACACTGCCTCAGGTATTCAGAAGGAGAGGGAGTGCAGATGAGATCAGTACCCTGCACTGCAGTCGGGAGCCTCTCGGAGCCACCATGGGCTGGTGACGGCTTTGACAGCACCACATTTGACTTTCTTGCAGCACCTTGGAGGCACGTGGAGAAATAGTGGCTGGCAGAAGCAAAGGTCAAGGAGCAGGAGGAAGCCTCCCGATGCACGTGACCTCCTTCCAGAAGGCTGAGTGATGGCTTGGGGTGTTTCTGCATAAACCAGGCCTTTCAGAGGAGGGAGTAGGAGGCTTCAGGTGATAATGGAGCTGATTCTGTGATTTTGTCTTTTTGGAAGCTGAATTCCCGGTTGTTCAGGTCCCAGCGGAAGGGTGCTGCCAGCACAGCTGTCTCGCTCTCTTCTCTGTCCTCCTTCCCCACCCGTGAGCGGTCACCAGCACCGCACTGGCCCATGCTGTAGTGACCATCCTCTCCTTTAACGGATGTTTTCACCCAGGGAAACACGGGGTTTTCCGTATTGCCATAGAATGTGCGTTACTACCTCGCAGGATATTAACCCACTGCTTTCTACTCAATTTTAGTTTAAAATTAGTTTAGTTTACATAAGATGAAACGTGGAGGGCCTACCTACACTATAAATAGTATTTTCCCCATGAGAACGACTATCTTTTTATCTGCATGTGGTATAGGAAATGAGACTCTGTACTCTTATCTACAAAACTATATTTTCTAAGAGGACACGTTCCGTTTTATTAATTTTTTTCTCTAATAATAGGCTGTCTGTGGAATCTGATTATTTTACTTTCAATTATAATAGTCAAGATTTTTTTCCTAAAATGTGACGATTATGTGTGTAGGGGTCACAGGACCACTGACCCACTGTGCCCACAGTGTCTCCCGTTAGGAGTGAATAATTACGGAGTGAGCTTCATTCTTGGCCTCCTATGAGCCTTTGATGAAACTGAGGCCCAATTCTGAAAATGTGGCAGCGCGTGCAACTGGAGTGCCTGGAGAATTCCATTTTGTCGCGTTAACAAGTTGCATCCTCCATCTCCTCTCCTGGCCGTTTCCTCCTCGCAGGTGTAGACAGGAGCATTCGGAAAAAGTGATCTGATTTGACTTTTTCCGGACTGCTTTCACCGACCGGCTCGGAGCGGCTGGGCCCCCTCGCCCTCCCTGGCGTCGCCCCGCCCGTGCC